CGCTGACACTGCTTTCCTCTTCAGCCATCCCCACCCTCCTTCAGTCGTTGTACAAAAAAGGGCAGTTTTGTCCCGCCTGTAGCTCACCTTTTCTGTGCTTCAGAAGAGACGTGCTGCTTCCCAAGCAGCAACTCCAGCATTGAAAGGATTTAACATAACTTTCCAAATCACCCAGTTTTCTAGGTTGGGTTTGCTGGGTTGCTTCTGGCCATCTTCACCTTCCAGGGTCTCCCAACAGCATCCAAGAGAGGACCATTTTCTATTGGATATAAAGCCAGTGCGGCTCTGAGCATCCCCCCAAGAGCCACCACCTCTCAGCCGCCATGGCAGCAGGAACCAGGGGAAAACTGACACGAGGGAAGCTGGGGATGACGAGAAATGAAAGCAGAGCCCCAGCTTGGGTCAGGTATTCTGGCAATGCCAAAGGCAAAGCTTTCTATTCCTGTAGAAAGCGATGACGTCCATCCTCACTCAGGTAAAAGGCATGGCGGCGGAAGATGTAGGCAGAGCAGCTGCCAGTCCCACCACAGCTTCACCCAGACCCTGCCATAGTCTTGGGAAGGTCTCTCAGATAACGGGCTTCGAGTCACGCTTTTAGCTGTGAGACGAGCAGGATGTTCACGGTCTGTCACTCTGAGAACTTATGGAGGATGGTCCAGGATTTCCCGTCCCGCCTTGTGCCAGCACCTGCCGTGAGCCCCCACATCGCTGCCTCTCATCTGGCTCCGGTACAGTCTGCGGTGTCCGACTTGAGCATCACCTCGGTTAAGTATTTCCCAAATAGTTAAAAAACGTTTCTCCTGTGATGTATTGTATCTCAGTCCCTGAAGTGCTAATCCTTACAAACAGAGAGCTCAGCTTTCGCTTGGGACATCACACCCAGGGCGTGACTTTGTCCTGGGACTGGAGGACTGGAAAACTCTTCCTGTCTGCATGTGTCTAAGCAACGGTTGGAATGTCTCACCTAAGCTTGGCATTATGGTATCAACCTCTGTTGCAGAATTTTTAATAACCAAACCAATACAGAGACTCTCCTGTCATCTACACCAACTTTCTGACTGCTGCAAAAGGGGAGGTTTCTACCCACCATGCTCACAGCTCTGCTGTCCCCGCCGTCCTGCCGGCTGGAGAAGGCGGGGGCACATATGCCCATCCGGGACCCCTCTGCAATCCCATGCTCAGGCCACCTCTACCAAACATAACCCACCACGCCTCTTCGAGTGAGCAGAGGTATTCCCAGCCAGAGCTGCCGCAGAGAAAAGGGACATCTATTGTAACCAAGAGTTTAATGTCCCCGGGAAGAAGCCAGGGCCACGGGGCTGCCCACCTGTAGGGCTTCGAGGCTGAGCGAGGTCCTGCCCTGGCAGACCTGAGCCTCTGCTCCCTGCAGACAGGGACGTCACCCAGCAGCACTGGATGGGCACCGCGTGGGAAAACGGATTATCCGCAAGTTGTCTTGGGCCAGTGGATGCCATCTGCTGTGCTGCTCAAATAATCCCCGCCTCAGTGCAGCCGTGAGCACCGCTCTAATGAGCAATGATACCTCCCTCATAATAAAGGAAAAGCTGCAAGTCCCGTCTTCCAAAGGGACCAGACACAAACCCCACTCATCTGTAACGGCCTGTTTTCCGAGCCTGACGATGCATCAGTGTGGTCCTTCAACAAATCCCATTTTCCCAGTAAATATTTTACTACAAATGGCAGAAGTTTGTGGCTACACAGCGACAAAATCGGTGTGACTTTGATTCCAAATCGTCTTTCTAAAGCACACCTAGAACCCAAACCCCCTTCAATTTCAGTGAGATTAAGACTCCCAAATAACTTTTGTCCCAGACTCCATCATCTAGTTATTTTAAAAATGCCACCTTAAACCCAGGGCTTTAAATCTTCCCAGCTGACTTATGAAAAGCTCCCGACGCTCGCTCCAGCTGTACACTTGCACAGCTCACAGCTTGCTGATACCGTTGAAGCCTCTGCGGGTTTGTGCATTATTTCCCTTTCATATTTTATATTCCCTTCCCTCTCCATAAATGAAGCTGAAGCTGCAAATGCTGCGGTATGGATGCTGCCAGGTGGGGATTCATTCAGCTCAATGAATATATTCAACAGCTACAATAATACAGCAAGGGATTGGAGAAATAAACACATAGAAGTATTTCTGTCCCCTGGACGCCATGTGGAGCAGCCACACAGTGGCCAAGGGGAAGGCATGACGGCAGCGGGACGGGCTGCTGAGAGCCAATCTCCTGCCTTTTGGCTTTTTACGTGGGTCACGATGTGACAGACTGAGATGGTGCCCTTAAAATCCAGCAGCAGATGAGCCTCCGACGAGAGCCCAAACCCTCGGCACTTCGGTGAAACCGAAGGGCAGCAGTGGTGGAAACATGGGAACGCTCCTCCAGCAAAGCTGCCTGCCTGGGTCACGCCACCAGCATCTGCTGCTACTGCATAAAACTCCGCGGAAATACTCCTTTTTAGCTGAAATACTCCTTTTCAGCGTTCTTGCTGAAGTAGTGTATTTCCAGTGAATGCAACGCCCTTGCTGCCCCTCCCAAAGGCTCACCTGCACTACGCAGGCCACCTACCAGCTCCCGCGAGGCCTCCTCTTCGTTGCTCTCTCCCCTGCGGAGGTTCGGGGGGGTGTGAGGGACACGGTGGGGACAGCGGTGGGGACAGCGGTGCTGCAGGTCAGACCCGCTTTCTGGACACCACCAAGGAGCCTCCCGCTGCTCGGTGCCTGGAAGACCCAACCCTAAAAGCTGCAAAAAGCATCGCGCATCAGGGGCTGATGTTTTACAAAATGCCAAGCGATTAATCAACAGCCGAACGGTGTGTCAGGAACCCGCCCTGCTTGCTGCTGTGGCGGCCGAAACACCACATTTCACGTTTTACCACCTTTCACAGGACTTGAATAAGTAGCGTCTGGAGAAGTGAAGACGGGCTCCACGTCCCCTTTCGCCTGTTCAGATGGTAACACACGATCCAGCTTTTTTTTTTTTTTTTCTTTTCTCTACTTTACTTAACAACCAGGTCAGGTTTTTCTCATACAGCCTCACTTGAATTCCCACTCCCCTCTCCAAGGGGTTTACTACACTGAAAAACATTGGCAGCCCCTGACCTCCAGCGCTTTTTGTATTCCCTGTGAAAAATACACTTCTCCTCCTCTGATCGACGTTCAAAAGTCACCGGTGAAGACAGGGATGCTCACGGCCCAGAAGAGACGGCCTCTGTGTCTCTGATC